GCCATAAGACTTGATAGGGCATTGTTACACCGAGGGCAAAAACTGCAATGCGTTTGGCTCCATAAACGGAGTTAGAATTTTTTTTTTTTTTTTTTTACTTCAAAGCCTTTTTTAAAACTAACAGTTCTTTTTGTAAAGCTGTGAAACACAAACTTTCATTCAGTTGAACTGCTCCCAGTGTTAATGTTACCTGGTTATTTTTCACCAAAGAAACATTTAACTAGTTTACATAAAAACTATCAACTGTTTACTGTGGTCCACTGTGGGATGCTTCTAAACATTCATACAGAAACAAGACAAATGTTAATTTAAAGAAATAGAAATCATTACACACAAATAGCATGTGGATAATGCAAATGCTGCTGAATAATGTTTGGGATCTTTAAAGAAAGCCAAAATGTTAAAATATTTCACTGCAAAGACTTTTATCTTAAGAGCAGCATCAAAGAGGTGTCACAGTATTACTTAGATTCACAGAACACTCCATCAAAGTCCTTGCAAACATGAAATGATTTTTTATTTTGTGCTAGTATCACAAATGAATACTTAGCCTTCCTTAACCCTTACAAGCAAAGTCCTTAATTACAAAGCATACCACCTCCAGCAAAACTACATTCGACTGTGTTCTTCCATGCTGAAAAAAAGAGCACGAATTAATTTAGCATTCTTTCTTGTTTTAGCCTAGTTCTTGAATTCTGCCTATAGTGAACTATCCTGTGTGCTATAAAAGGGAGGACTGAGCATAAACAATCCCGAGCAAGTGGTTCCATGACTCTCAGACCCATACATTGCCCTTCTGACTTCAATAGGACACCTGTAGGGATATGATTTCAGGTTTGGAGCCTTCAGGTTTGAATCTTTTCAAATGCCCAGTTAATAAAGGAATAAGTTATCCAGTCATACCTCTTTCATGTGGTGTTATATGCAACACACACAGATTTAAGCTGTCACACATGACAGCTCTCTGGTCTGACATAAATCAAATTATCTACCTGCATGCTTTCCTCCCACTTTTAGGTGTTGTCCTCTCAGTGGTGTTAGCCAGCATTTTTGGAGTTATCATCATTCTTGCAGCAGCCTTTTGGCTGATTAGGCAGAAAAGGTAAGATGTTTTGCTGCCACACTATGGAATGCTGACCAATTATTTCTATGTATTCACAAGTACTGGCACTACTGACTAAAGCAAAGTATGCTGCTACTGAGAAGATGACCCCACCTCACCTATGTAGACCATTTCATAAAGAAGTAAGGCTGGAAGGGACTTCAAGAGATCATGCAGTCCAACCCAGGATTGAAGCCATGATCTTGGTGTTATTAGCACCACACCTTAACTAACTGAGCTGAACTGGTTATAAGATGCAGCATTTTAAACAGTCAGTGCTACATTGCCCCCCCTTCCCTTGCCCCCCCCAATTTACTTTCATTAACATAATCTCTTTTTTATAGTTGCAGAAAGGACAAAGAAGAAAACAAAGGTGTTATCTACAAGCCAGCAGCTGACAATGAGTACGACGATCCCTCCAAAGTATGAGTTATACCCTATCACAGAAACCGCTTTTCATTCATGGGACTGGCAGAAATTTGCCCTGGACAATGCTTCTCTAGCCTATGATAAGGCTTGGAAACACTTACAGAAACAGAAGGGACCACACAAGATCATGAAGTCCAACCTGGGATTGAACCTGTGATCACGGTGTTATTAGCATCACACTCCAACCAATTGAGCTAAACTGGTTATAAGACACAGCCTTTTAAACAGTCATTCCACTCCTGCCTCCCTGCAAATTTACTTTTGCTAACATTGCCTTTTTATACTTGCAGAAATGACAGAGAAGACAACAAAGATGTCATCTACAAGCCAACAGCTGACAATGAGGACGATGATCCCTCCAAAGTATGAGTTATATCTTATCATAGAAATCACTTTTCATTCGTGGGACTTGACAGAAATTTGCCCTGGACAATACTTCTCTAACCTATTATAAGGCTTTGAAACAGTTTCAGAAACAGAAGCCTAAATACTCTGGTAGCTCTTACCTTCCGACACCTGGGGAGATGTGATCAGTGAGTATTCCTGAGGCCATGTCTCTCACTACTCTCTACTCACTAATAATTTATTCCATATTTAATCATAAACTCAAGCTTTATAGGTTGTTCATACCACAGATTTCCCATCCAAAAATTCAAGACTAAAGAAAACAAGTCATTATCGGTACTACAAGATTATGTCTGTATCTATTTCTTCCCTAAGATTTGGTCTTTTCAATAATTTTTTAACCATGTTCTTCAGATGATACTGTTATTTAAATTGCAGTGAACAGCTGATCATAGTATCATACCACCATTAGTGGAGCTACAGCATGGGCTCATGTAGACACAACCAGGCCCCCTTGGCCTGCTAGTGAGGTCTGAGCATAGGATCTTCAGCGCTAGCATAGTTTAGCTCACTGCTGGAGCTAAAAGCCTTTAATCTCATGGTTATAGAAGACTCACTGAACCTGTTATGGAGGCAAGTTACTAGAGAGATAAAATGGTACTTTCCTTCCCTCTTTCCCCCACATGAACTGCACCAGCAAGCAACAGATCCTCAGGCCCTTCCTCACAACTTATTGTCCTCATTTTATTTGCATGAATGATACATAGATATAGCAATTATTACTTTAAAGACATTTGCTTTCCAATTTAATCATGATTAAGTCATTGTATACTTATAATTATTATAACTGAAATTGAGCAACAAATTATTTTAACACATTAGTTGCCTGAATTTAGCAACTTATTTATTAGAAGGGGACATGTATTTTGTTAGAATTACCTTCTTGACCTTATAACATAGTGTGTGATGGGAGATTATGATTCACCTCAGAAGGAAGAGTGTTGAGCCAATCACACCAAACATGGAGAATTCCTCTTGAAACCAACACTTTTGTGTGTGCCATTTGAATAACTATGTTGGCAACTGAAAATGAGTACCCAAGCAGGAAACCGAGTAGAGATGGATCTAAAATAATTTAAGGTCTAAATGGCACTGAACATTGGGGAAGGCCAGATTTGAACTTTGCAGTTTGAATCTGCTTACATTTTGGGGAATTTAAATAGTCTTTTCTCGGTGACTCTGCACATGCTACTATTGTCATATACTACTGAACTTGCCACTTAACCACAATTACTAATATGCTAATAAAACATGAACTTTCAAATTCAGCACACTGATATGATTATACAATGTATAGGCTGAATGTTACCTTCATCTTCCCTTCCCCCTACTTATTACATATTCATTATGCCTTAAAAATCTAGATCATGGGCTGCTTGTAGGCTAGATGATAGGGTCAGGGATTTTGTCTGATATTTTGGTAGCATCCAGCAAATCCTAAAGGAACTTCACAGGCAATACTGGAATATAAATTTCAGTAAGAAGCAGAGTGTGTATTGATTTGGACTCAGAGTTACAAGGAATTGTAAGAAAGGCAGAAAATTACAGAAGTAATAAAGTAAAGCTCTACAGCTTTTTACGCAGTTTAAATTGTGAAACCCAAATGTCGCACTGTCTTCCTAGAATTCTTCAGGGGTCATTAGGATTTACTCTGTTAATTTCAAAGACAGAAGTGTGCTTTTTGGTCTACTTGTCACTATTTTAAAACTCCCTTACAGAATAACTATTTTCTGATTAAAATATTATTTTAAATAGCTCTTTGTGCTCACAATAGGCAAAAATCACAATCTTATATGGAAGATAATATATGACCATAATGAAAAAATAGATATGTGCTCTATAGTTTGAACTTTAGTTCAACACAACAGAATTTTTATTAAAATGTTTGACATTGCTAATACTGTAGTGATAATACTGTTTCTATTGTATAACTGAATATAGCCTCTAAGCTAAATTCAGTACTTCCTTTCAATAAATAGGAGGATACATTGCATCTATAACAGTGGTGCTCAACCCACGGTCTGGCAAACAAACCTGGCTTGCAGAGCTGTATCATCTGGGCCATGGGAACGCCCAGTAACATAACTGGGATGGGGGGAGACAGTGACCAGGCAGCAAACCCAGGCGCCACCTTTTCTGGAGGATGGAGGGGGTATGAGAGAGGGGGGCACAAAAATATACATCAGCACAGCAGAAGCTAACCACACAGCAGCCAGGCCAGTGCTGCCCTGTGCATTGCAGCTGTCCAAGGTGTGGAACTGCCCTGCTATCTCTCTGGGGAGCCCAGTGGGCCAGATGACATGGCCCTGTGTGCTGCATTAGGCCCATACACAGGGTTGGTCCAGGGCTCAATTTGGTGTATAGCCTTGGTCTACAGGCACAATCCAGCCATGGACTGGCTCCATGCGCCTGATCCAGCCATGGATCAGCCCTATGAGCTGGCCCATGGATTGGCCCCGCAGCTGTCATCCAGCTCGCAATTATATAGCTTGAAATATATTTATTCAGATGCCTAACTTTAACATTTTTATTTTCTAAAATAGAGAAAAAACATGTTTCTTAGTTAAAAGTTTTTTATACTGTTGATTTGTAGGGACCTACTCAATTCATGATTTTCTAGAAAGTGTGAAAGCGGGCATTGGCCATGAAATGGTGGAAGCTCCATCCTTGGAGGTTTTCATAACCCGGCTAGACAAAGCTTTGGCTGGGATAATCTAGTTGAGGATGGTCCTGCTTTGACCATCCTCCAAAAGGTTAAACTAGATCACCTCCTGAGGTCCCTTCCAAACCTAACTTTCTATGATTCTAAATTCACAAAAAAAAAACAACCAACCCAACTCCCCCCCTCCCCCCCAAAAAAATTAATAAAAATAAAATGCTGGCTCCCCAGTGGGAGCCAGCAGTCCTCGTGGCTACTGGGGCTTTGCAGCCCAAAGGGGAATGGGAAGGGGAGGGAACTGCCAATACAGAGAACAGCCAACATGGCAGCCACCTCCCCCCCCTCCCACTGACTGGCAGAGAGGGCTGCCTGTTGTGCAGCCGCACCCCTCTCCACCAATCAGCAGTGAGGGGTGGGGCCTCATGACTAACAGCTCTTTCCACCCAGAGGCAAGGGGTGGTGCCAAATGACAGACAGCCAATTGGTGGTGAGGGGCACAGCCACTGGGGTTCCTCAGCCAATCAGAGCCATAGGTGGGGCAAGGCGTGGTCCTGCTGCAATAAGCCTGTGAAAGTAGCTCCATAGTTCACTGGCAAAGTCAGCCCTTGCCTTGATTTTGGTAGGTCTCTGTTGATTTGTGTTAATTTGCACTTGGAAAGGAACAGAAAACAATCCTTTAAATATATTTTTAAAACAGTTAATTATTTAAATAAAGTTACCTTAAGTGTCCTGGATATATACACATATATAAATACACACACACATTTTGCATTCAAAATGAACTAATCTTTTAAACTGAGGAATTCCTAATGATAGCTTGTGGTCATAATGGGTCAGATTTGTTCCCATAAGTAGGTGCCAAAATACATTTGCAATCTAGAAATCCAACTCAGTAACTGAATACTTTGACAATCTGACCTGTGTCCTACATGTTTTGAGAACAGTAAATCCCACCCTTTCCTAGCTGGTTCTTATTTTGATAGACTACAAAAGAAAAACAAGCTGTCCTGCTTTTTCCATTTCCTACTTTCTCAACCCTAAAATAATCCAACTGAAAACACCCTCCCTGAACCTACTCATTAAACTGTAATCAAAAGTGATTTATGCAAAAACATTTATTCACAACAGAACCTCAAAGTACTTGTATTTGGAACAGCATCTACTCCATTGTAAAGACTGAAAATCATATTGATGAAAACATTGGAACCTATTTATTACGTATGAATTGACTTCAGAAGTTGAAACTGCCTTTTCAGAGTTGTACATAACAAAAAAGCAGCACTATTTCACTAATTAAAATGTGAGGGCGCATGACGTCATGAGGGCTGCATTTTTTTAAATTATTCAATTAACTTTGATGGGTTATAATTATGGCTTAACATAGATCATCTTAATTTGAAATGTAATACTTTTTTTAAGAAAAGCAATATTTTTAATTTAAATTAAATCCAATTTCAATGAAAAATGTGAATTATAAGATCTAATTTTTCTACTCTAATACGAGCTGCTGAAAATCCTTGTTTCCAGAAAAGTCAGCACTAATTACCCTTGTAGTTGGGTAAGTCTTAGATATACCAGGATAAAACAGACCTTGGAGATTAGCTTGCTCTCGTCCCATATTAGGAGCTAAAGTAAATTTATGAGGCAGTGCTATCTAAAGTTTTTCCTGCCCTTCCTGGTAAGGTATGTGTACTAAGATAAAATATTTCAGTCTCTAAGGTTCATACTCGCTCCTCTAAATTTGCATAAAGTATAAAAATGCAACAACTGTAAAAATAGCTGGCTTGCTAAAGCTTATTTGAATTTCTGCAGCTATAGTTTTAGCCTTAACTAAATGTGGAAATGTCTGTGATAAACATTCATCATTCAAACACTCAACATCAATGACCAATTCATTTTAAGCCAGACAATTTCTCTGGAGGGAAAATATTTACAGGCTACTGATCAATCAGAAAACAAAAAAGAAAAGTTACTTTGAATCACCCCCATTAGGTTGTTTTAAAAAAAATAATAATTACATGTTTTTCTCAG